AGGCTAGATACTGTCGTCCAACCATTTCCTGTATATTTTATCTAATAGCAATCTATAGATTTTCTATTTTTGTTCATTTCCTTTTGATATTTATATTGATTTTCACTGATGTCAATGATCTGAGCTCTTGACTGTCCTGACAAAGGGTCCTCCTGTTCAGATGTTTCCATAAACAGCCAGAAATGATCTTGTCCCTGTAATGACCATGAAAATGTAGAAAGGCGTTTTTTCTTGAGGCAACAAATTATTGAATCACTAAATGTAGGCCAAATCATTGCAATATTGTATAGTGCCATTGTACGTATGTTGTTCATACTTGACATTTTAGTAAAGTGCAAGTTAGTAAATGACAGATGATTTTTAAAAAGTTAATTTGTTACTTTTCATGTAAAAGCTAAAAGCCAATTGTAGTTCTGACTAATGAACACCTGAGGGCAGTAAGACTCTTCAAATATGAGTAAAGTCGTAGTCATCAAAGTTGCATTTTCTTCAAGATTTAGTAACATTAATATCGTAAAATGATCATTTTTCTAAAGTATAATTACACAAACCATTTTTCTTTCCATAAGAACGACAGTATAATTGCCTACAAAAAAGGTACAAGTTACAAAACACTGGACTGGACCGGTTCATTCCACAGTATAGGCTACTTTCCAAACTCTGTAGTCTTCATTTTACATTTTTATAAACTTTATAGGCCATTCATAACTTTTCTATAATTCTACAACACTTGCAGTTATTTGCAATTAACTGTAAGTGCAAACAAGACAGGCTATTAAACAGAATGCAATGTCTGGCATTCAAAAATGTGTTTCTTGTCTGCACAGTATCCAGCAGCGTGCAAGTAACATGGCCAGCTGCCAGAGCGGCCTAAGGTGAACTGAACCTCAAGGTGTAAGTAATTTCATCCTTATTAGAGAGTAATGCTCAAAGCTTATGCAGTACTGTAAAATAAACAAGCGGTCCTTGCAGAAATTCTGGAAAACATTCTTATAAAAGGCTCCTAGATAAATATTTTGGAGATGCAATGGGGTACAAACTAATCTTATTTTGAGCAGCTTTTTATTACGTAGGCTGTTTCTATATTGTATCTTCATGCATGATCTGACCTGGTGTGCAAATGATTTTAGCAGCAGCAGATTAAACATCCTTACTTTGTTTATTATCCTTCCAGCCCTCTCTCGACAATTATATACAAGTGCTAATGTAGACCAGCTGTTTGTAATAATGTTGTATACATCCATGCATCGGTGAATGTGACAATAGTTTTCATTCAGGTTTTATATTACATGAAGTTCACACTGTTATTTCCTGTTCATCATACTGTGGTTTTCTCAGCTGTGTTTTGGGATACAGAACTAGAACTAGAATAATATACTTCATAATGAAAACTGTAAACTTTAATTACTAAAATCCAAACTCCGTTTTGAAGGACTCTGCTGTCAGAAATATAATTATTTATATATGAGATTCCACAGATGCTTTTGCTCCGAAATGGAAAAAAAACGTTGCGGACAACACTTACCATGTGGATTGAAAACTTCAGAATCCATCACTCCGACACGAAAATTACAAAGTGCAATTCCAGTCTTTCATGGACTATTTTGAAACCTTAAATTCTTTGTTGTCACTTCATGTCGTTTATTGAGTGATATATTTTACTATAATAAGAAATCGGATTAATTTTTTTGGAAGTTTCATTTTATATTTGACCCTAATTACTTCTTCACTGAAGGGTCAGCCACTGCGTGTCAACCTCTCAACAGACATACTCCTTATTTATATCTCTTAAACTGCCAGAAACGGCATTGAATTAGTGAATGACCTCGGACACAGAACGCTATCCAACACTGGCAGGATTTCTGTGGTCCTCCTGAACCACAGCCATTAATAAGCCCTGCGTAGCTGTCTTACAAACCCTACGGGATGAGAAGAAATTATGGTTTCATTCATAGGAATGTTTCAGAGATCCAGATTTATCCCACATGACCCTGGCTTTCAGGTTTGCACTTCAAAACGGATGTACTTTATTTTTTTTATTTAATTTTTTGCCACGTAAACGGTGTTTGATAAAGTTTACCCGGCAGTTCACATTAGTTTAATACATGAAGTTTACTTTATTGTATTTCCTGTTCTCAGAGGAAACGGACTTAAAAGGATTCTATGTATAATCTGGAATCCAAAGAGATGTGCGTATGGTGATGTCAGAGGGATGGATACCCTTTTAAGGGCATAGATTTGGTTTTGCAAGTGAGCACAGAAGATTCCAATTACTATCCCTCCATGAAGTAAACATTTTGTTTTAGTACGAATTGTCTGTTTGTGTTATAAATTGTTTTTGTGAACAATTTTCACAGCACTTTTTTGTCATTATGCAAAAACTGGCAATGCATAGCTGGCAAAAAAAAAAAATCCAATTATTGAAATGTGAGGGGCTGTATTACTATAATTACAGCATGTAACTAGCCAAATAAATAAGTATCAGCATACAAAACAATTGGCCCTAGCAACAGGATTACAGTATTTTAAAAAGATTAATTCACCTAAGAATTTGCTGAAAATGTACTCTGCATCTGTAAGATTGAACAGATTTGAAGAAATTTAGTCATTAAATCACTTGCTCACCAGTGGATCCTCTGCAGTGAATGGGTGCCATCAGAATGAGAGTCAAAAGATATGATAAAAACATCACAATAATCCATAAGTGATCAACATGATTCCGGTCCATTATTTAAAGTCTTGTGAAACGAAAAAGCTGCACGTTTGTAATAAACAAATACATCATGATGTTTTTAACTTAAAATTCAAGTCCTCCATTCATAATCTTGTTTTCTCCACTGGAAAAAGTCGTCTTGTCTGAATCAGGAGAGAAATCAAGATCAAGATCTTGAGCACAGATCAAGCAAAGCACTGTTTAATTACAAGTGAAAACAATTCAATATGTTTGTGGATTTTGATGCAAAGGAAGCTTTATTATGGATTATGGGCTCATCCTTCAAGTTCCTAATGATGGATTTGTTTGTTACACACAGCTTTTCATTTCACAAGACATTAATGGACTGGAATCATGTGGATTATTTGTGATGTTTTTATGAGCTGTTTGGACTCTCATTCTGATGGCACCCATTCGCTGCAAAGGACCCACTGGTGAGCAGTGTTGGGGAGTAACTAGTTACATGTAACCACTGCTGGTGAGCAAGTGATGAATGCTAAATGCTTCACTTGCTAATTCTAATTCTTGCTAATTCTCCAAATCTGTTCTGATAAAGAACAAATAATCTACATCTTGCATGGTCCAAGGGTGAGTACGTTTTTATTTTTGGGTAAACATTTCCATTAATACTGATGTCCGCTGAGCAGTCTTTCATACAGATCAGTTTGTGAAGAACTTTAGCTCATTTGTTCATACAGTCCAGATGCCAGAGGATATCCTCATCACCATATGTTATGGCTGGAATGAGATACTTTCCTGCAGTGATGTGTTTTGTCTTCATCAAACTTTCAATCCTAATTTATGCCACAAGTCTAACTTTCATCTAACTAACTTTCATGCATGTCTGCAGTGCATTCTTCAAATAGTTACCTGGACCAATAGTCATGGTGGTAGGCCTGGGCTTATTTGTGACCTCCTGATGTATTTGCTATATGGCTTCTTCTTTTACACCTTTCAACTCCTGCAAAGACTAACAACAGTGAGTTGCACCTCAACAAAAATGTATAAATGTGAAGTAATTGTGTGCACTAAAGGCGATGTTAAAAAGTGCTGTTTGACAAATAGGTTAATTTGGGTCAGTCGTATAATCTGTTTTCTGATTTCATGAATCATATCTTCTTTGACTATCAATTACTTTGAAATGAAGATCAGCTCACATTTAGAGTCAAATGATACAGGTCTAAAGATTTCAGAGTGTATTTAGTGTATCTATGCTCAATTACTCTTAAAGAGACCCCACATTCAACCTTGAATTTGTTTATGTGATTCTTTATTTGTTGTTTCTGGACTATATCACAAGGATTTGGCAAAGACAGTTTCTCTTTAAAATGCAAAATAAATATATTTAGATAAACATCTGTATCAATATAATTTTTTAAAACTTATTTACAGTATATCTTGTGTTTTCATTTAATCTAAGCCTTTATATATGTACAGTGTGTCAAATCAGCTACTGCTACAAAAAAAATTCTTAATCAGTCCTTTCCTCTTGCTTTTGGCAACAATATTTAGCCATTCTTAAAAGAAGATACATTTAATTGATTTGCAGGATATGCCTTTTTAGTGGTTTCCAACCGACCGGAATCATTTGTTCTTATTTTAAGCAAAAATACTGATTAAGAAAATGATTTTTACAGAGTATCAGATGACAGGATCTGTATACTTATACTGTACATCAGTTAAATTGAAGGCACTGTATAACCTGATGTCATTTGAATTTATCTTCTTTTATCATCTTCTCATATTCATTATTACTTCTTTTTATTCTCACACAACTTTAAATAAGCTTTTAAGTGCTTTATATATAATTTGACTGTTATTGAGGAACTGAAAGTGTTGCTGCTTTGCACACTGCTGGTGTTTCACTAAATAAAACCATTATTATTTCCTCAGCCTTATTCAAAACAAATTTGTCAAAATATGTTCAGTTTTATACCTCTACCTTTTGTACTGAATGTGTACAAAAGGCATTTGTTAGATATTTGTCCAATAAGGAATGTATATCACTTTTAGTCCTGGATTTTTCTGTTTGGCATGGATCTGAATTGTCCGCTGGATGTATTTTCCATGCATGAATCACATAATTCATGTTCTTCCTCAGTCCTTGCCATGAAAGCTCTGAATCTGAAGAAGACTTACGGCAGAAAGACTGATAAATGGGATGAAATAGCTGGCTGTGGGCTTAAGGCCTTGATCTCTTCTTCCTCTGCAGTTAAGACATTTATCTCCATCTCACACACAATAGTGGACAATACTTCAATGAAATATGTGTTTAATAAATTATTTCAATTTTAGAATTTAATTACGTTTATTATGACTGTCAGTAAGCTGTTCTTTATCCTGTTTGATGAGACAGCAAAGATCAGTCTCATACTCAAGAGGTCTATTTTTGCATAAAATCCTCAAATTGATATCATAAATTGGTTAATAATAAGCCACTCTTCACAGTTCACTTGGTTAAAGTGGCATCATCGGATACTCTGAATAGAAGATGTGGCAATATCTCACAACAACATGTCTTCCACATGCATAGGACAGATACAGCCGCATAAATCCCTGTCTCTGCTGACACTCAGTTTTCATTTATTCTGTAGGGGTCAGTACTGGTTGTCCTTGGTAGTGGAGGTGTTTATGTCACTGGAGTGGTCGTGCATTGAGCTCCTGCGGGGCAGCTTTGGCCGACAGCGCAGCAGAGCGAGAAGTTCACGGGACACGCTGCTGGAAAAGGCTGTGTAGATCCATGGGTTCGTACAGGAGTTCAGACTGGCTAACAGCATCAGGATAGTGAAAGCCACTCCTGAGAATGAGGGAGGAAGAGAAATCAAATCAATTTCAAGTCAGTTATTGTAGAGGTCCAGTTATTGTCCTTATTTAAGGGTTACTACTAATATAAACTACATTAGAGACAGTGACTCCTTGAAATGTGCTGATCTAAGAGAAGTTTCAAAACTCAACTAAAACTGTATACTTTGGCAAATGCTCGCCAAGCTAGCAGGGAATGTTTTTAGAATTTTGGCTTAGGTTCTGGCAGGGTTCTTTTAAAGTTATGTTCCCGTAATGTTAATAGAGTGTTCGTTCAAAGTTATCGGGTCTTTAATAATGTTACTGTAACAGATTACAGTTACATTAATTTTGTATTTAAATGACGTAATTCTGTTGCATGTAACTATACTCCCCAACATTGATTTTACATTGTTAAGCACTTTGGATAGCTTTGCTATGTTGAAATGTGATAAATAAATAAAATTTACTTACTATTGTTTATACATCATTTATGGGGCGTTTTTCTGAAAATTATAGTTGGATGTTCATAATTTTTTTTTAAATGTTACTACTAATTAGTTTCAAATGGTTTGGAGAAAATTCAAAAGTAACATTCCCATAATGTTTGCAAAATTGAACATTCTCTTAATGTTTTTCTAAGTTTCACATCAAAAACATTTTTGAAACATTTATGAACTGGACGGTTTTAACATTCTGAGAACATTCAGAAATAACATTTTCCAACATCAATGGAAACGTTAGCAAAACATATTTTATTACCTGGGGCCACTCTCAATGACTAAACATTTATACTTGAACTATTCTCTGAATTATTGACTAAACCAGCAATACGAAATGCTGTATAATAGGAAATGCTGTATAATAATCTTAAAGACATCTATAATGTCACTTTTAGCATGATTTACAGTAGTGATACACTGCCTCAAAAAATAAATAGAGAACATTCAGAAATAACATTTTCCAACATCAATGGAAACGTTAGCAAAACATATTTTATTACCTGGGGCCACTCTCAATGACTAAACATTTATACTTGAACTATTCTCTGAATTATTGACTAAACCAGCAATACGAAATGCTGTATAATAGGAAATGCTGTATAATAATCTTAAGGACATCTATAATGTCACTTTTAGCATGATTTACAGTAGTGATACACTGCCTCAAAAAATAAATAAATAAATAAATAAATAACAGCTTTGCTGTCACAAGAATAATTTACATTTTAAAATATATTAAAATAGAAAATAGTTATTTCAATTTGTAATAATATTTTACAATATCAATGTTTTTACTGCATTTTACTGTACCGCATAAGAGACTTCTTTCAACCCCGTTTATAACCTATTTAAAAAATCTTACCAACCCCTTACACTTTAAACTGGAATAGGAAATAAAGGAATGCATCCAAGCAGGGATTTATAATGACAAGAAATACATTATAATTTAAGTTTCCATTGTTGGAAATGCAGTAAGAAAATCTCTTACACTAAACAGTTTATATGACATTCAACTGTTCAATCAATGGCAATTTGTTGCCCATTTGGCTGCAAGAAAACAGCTGAAACAAATCAAAAGCAGCTGGAGTAGGAGCACAGATGTGTGTGTTAGCAGCTCTCAGTGGCCTGTGATGAGAGATATCAACATCTGGTTAGTGATGGAAGAGCAGCAGGGGATGGAAATAGGTTATTTATTGGTGTGAAGAAATGGCCTTTAAATATGCATGTGTCTAAGAGGGGGGGGGGAGATCAAGCAAGGAGAGAGATGGAGGGCATTTGCAGGAAGTTTCTTGTAGTAAACACCAACCTGACTCATTGCATTGATGGACTACACTTTTTCCGGATAATTTGCAACCATTCCAAAGCACTTCCACAATGAGTCAGTCCTCTTGTAAAGGAATTAATAATACCCATATTGAACAGCCAAATGTCGTCATTGAATTGCACCTCATGCTTTTTATATCCAAAAATGGCTATTCTATATCGTTCTTGTGAGGACTGCTTTAGTTTCTCACCTTGGTCAGGGGGGTTGGGGTCCCAGGCAGCCCACAGCTGTACAATGAAGAAGGGTGACCAGCACAAGGTGTAGACAAGCACAATGACCAGAGTCATCCTCACTGTTTTAGACATAGCTTTCGACACACCTGTAAGAGGTGGATGGAGGGGGTAAGGTGGGAAAGAGGGGTTTGAAGAAGCATTGGAGTACTCAGTAGTGGTGTTGTAAGAGTTCCTGTGAGGAACAGAGTTCAGAGTTGGTGTCTGGACAGCAGTAGAGTTGCTCCAGATGGTGTGAGGGTGAGTCTGAATGCGAGGCAGCACATCAGGGGATGATATGTGAGTCTGTGAGGCCAGGTCATTGGGACTGTAGCCATCCTGACAAGATTGGTCACAACAATCCGGCTCTGGTGCGTTGCAGGTGTGAGAATGGGACGAGTCACTGTTGGTATTCTTTTTATGAAGTTCCCTTGCTTCTCTCGTCTTTCGTGAGCGTTTTGCTCTCTCTCGGACTGTGCTGGCCCGTTTTTTGAAGATGGGAAAGTGAAAAATGACCAGGTTCGTCTTCATGTCAGCAGAAACCACACGTTCTGATTTCAGGTAGATGTTGTCATGGATCTCTCTGAATATTCGTACCTAGAGACAAATAGTAATTTACAAAAAGTAAATAATAGGGCTGTTATAGAGTGAACACAGTGATACATTAAGATGAATTAAATGTGTTAAATAGGCCTATGTTAACCCATTGCATTCCATTTTACACTGTAAAAGCTTCATTCTGTTCTGTCACTGTTTATAAACACGTTATTGACACATTAGTAGTGGGGATCTCGTCAGTGACTCGAATCTTTTAAATTGGTTCACTGAAAAGATTCACTTAGATTGGTTCACTCATTCGTTTCTGCAGGTTGTTTGTGTTTGTATTGAGAGATTCACTGAATCATTCATGCAAGGTATTTGTTTAAAACCATTTATTATTTATCTTTATGTCAACCTCTGGACATGCAGCCTTAACAAACAAACTTCTGAGTCGGTCAGAAGATCCTTATTCGTTCGCAAACTAAATAACTTATTCAATGTCGAGTCTTGTTCAGATTTTAAACACCGACTCGTTCGCGTTCGTTTAGTAGGTCCAAGTCCAACCAATTAAATTCTTCTTCACAACCCGCGCTCGACAGGTATTGGCTCGTAAGCAAAAGACTTTTGACGAACAAGCTAGCATGGAAACGAACAATTAATTCGCTTTCATTATTTGTTCGAAAAACTGATTCATTGCTCGCGATTATGGTAAGGGGCGTTACATTTCCGACAAGTGCTTGGTCAAGTGTTCGGCCAATCACAATGCACTGGGTCAGCTGGCCAATCAGAGCAGACTGCGCTTGTCGGAAGGAGGGACTTTGTAGAAAACGAAGCGTTTGAGAGAGGCGGGGCATAGAGGACCTACAATAATGTACAGTATTTGAAAAATAATGTGTTTTTTTAACATTAAAGCATGTCAACATATTCTGTTACACCAAATACACCAAATAATGATCTTTAAAAAAGCATCATATGATCCCTTTAAGCAATACGGCGCTACTTTATGCACGCAAAACGGGTCTCAGTTCTGTATTTTCTCCAAATTTAGAACATTGAGCATCTATCAAAGAGCATCTATCTATCGAAGATTAATTGAATCAGGTATGTTACATAAGGAAGATATCCAGCATGTGCAGTGTTGAGAATCACTGCTTTCTAATCTCGAGCACTCATTTATTAAGAGAAAGCCTCTCTTAATGGAAATCTAGTTTATAAACCAACACCATATGGGACGTTTAACAGAAGTAATTTAAAAGCTTTGTATGAAGTGAATCACCAGTGATACTCAAGTAGCCTATGAAATATTAAGTGCAAGTGAAACACCATAATTTGTACAAACATTCACAAGATGTCAAAGGCCATCTGCAGGTCAGCGGCAAGAAGCAACTTTACACGTGTAAGTTCATAATGTGAGAGATTTGTTCATCATTGCAGTTTTTGTGGAGCTTTGTGGGAATTGTTTGATGTATGAATGCAGAACCTTTTTCATGTCATTAAGACATTAGCTTGGAAAGATTGCTATGCAGGTGCTTAATGGTCAGACCAGCCTTGAGAAGATTCTCAAGGCTGAGAAGTTTTAGGTTTGGTTTATGCACAGTGTACTCTTTCTTAAATAAGATTGACTTCCTGGGAACTGTATCAGCTGGTGGAAGGAAAGATCTGCACATTAGAGAATTCCTCTCCTGAAATAGAGCTTTAACTGACCAAAACCCCTTGGCCAGGTCAAAGAGCATAATCTCACCAAACAAGCATTATGATACATGTCATGCAGGGGATCCGCCTCCTCTCAAATGATTGTCACCCCAGAATATCATGTTTTATCTCAAGAAAACAAAAGTCCTTTTTCCAGAACAGCTGAGACATTTCGGTAGTGCTGCAGTAATGAGTCCTTAAACCTGGAAACGAGTTAGCATTTTTGCACTTCCGTTTGCATCGTCCTGAAGTCAGTGGGGTTTTAAAGTGGGTTAAATGCCTGAAATAAGCTTGGTGGTTAACACAAGCTCAGGATGTTTCGATGTTTTATTCTATGACACAAAATACATCAGCAGTATCCCACTTGTTATTTTTAAAAGCTTTTATGTGTCCTCAAAAAGGCATTTGCTAACAATTGGCTAAATGGGACAACAGAGGTGTTCGGGGTCTTTAAACATCACACCAAACTGTATCTACTCACTAGTCCACTTTCACAGCCTCGTTGTGTTTATACTCAACTCGAACTTTCCATTGTAGATTTTTAAGTAAGATTGAAAGAGTCAGAAGCTTAATGTTGATGACATTGAAGTTATGAAGTTCATATATAGCCTATTACTTCTGGTGATTGTATTTAGGCTTTAAAATTAATCATTAATTTAATTAATTTAATTTAATCATAAATTAATTTAAAGTTCTGTTTATTTGTGAAGATTATCTTGATGAAAGAGTGTTGATCTAATATAAAAAAAACTATAGTAAATCACAAATTATTTACTTTTAAACTGCAACCACTAGTGGTAATTCTTAACTAATGTGTTAACATTTATGTATTTTTTATAAGGTGAAAGGGAAAACTGGGATTACAGACACAAATGGAATGCACAGACACCAGGAGTACCTGACAAACGGTGATAATAAAGGTAGGAAGCAGAAACACAGCTATAGTCATCCAGGTGACATACGCTTTTAGCCCCCAAGGCTCAGCAAAATTCCCCCAGCACTCAAACACCCCTGGAGAGACCTCTGACCTGGAGAAAATAAACACCTGTAGGGAAAACAGCATTGGGAAAATGTCAGATATTTCAGAATATTTCCTTTTGTGTTTCATGGAATAAATAGCAGCATATAGGTTTGGAATGACTTTGATGGGGAACAATTAATGGCAAATTGCTTTTTCACAGTCAGATTTAGATACATTTGTTTATTCATTGGAAAAGGTTTTAGAAATTTTGCATTACATTACTTCCAGTAGATCCTCTGTAGTGAATGGGTGCCATCAGAATGAGGTTCCAAACAGATGATTAAAAAAAAAAACAGTAATCCACAAGTAATTGACACGACTTCACTCTATCAGTTATCGTCTTGTGAAGAGAAAGCAAACAAGCAATTTTATGGATTATTGGCTAGGATAAAGTTGAAATGTGTTAATGATGGATTTATTTATTACAAACATGCAGCTTTTCACTGTTAGACGTTAATTAATGGACTGGAGTCTTATTGATTTTTATCAGCTGTTTTCAATCTCATTCTGACGGCACCCATTCACTTTCAGCAAATGTTCATTTTTGGGTGATCTGTTTCTTCAAAAATGTATATTCACTGACTCATACTTCCTAACATTCTAAGTGTAGTAAACCTTACATTGTATTTACAACTAGTACCTGTGGCACACTGAGAACAAGGGCTAGACCCCAGGCTACCATGATGGGTGTATTCCAGCGTGAAACTGCCCCTCCTTTGTAAGCCTGCAGGGGGCAGCAGATGGCATTATGGCGGTCCACTGTCATAGCAACAATCATGTAAGAGGATGCAAACATTCCCACAATCTGCAGATATTTGACTGAGCGGCACAGCACATCAGGACCTTGAAATCTCTCTGTGATATCCCATACTAGCTGCGGGAGCACCTGCAAAACATTAGTGTACTGCTGTTGACAAGTCACTTAAAAGACAAAATGCTACACTAAGCATTAGACAAAGTTCAGCTCACCTGAAAAAACGCCACCACAAGATCTGCAACACACAGGTTTACCATAAATAGGTGCATGGGTGCGTTGTATTTGCGCCGCCTCAGCAGAACCCACAGTACAAAACCGTTCCCTAATGTTGTGAGAGCGAGAACCAGACCCAGAATGCCAATCTCAGCTTTAGCCAGAGATATGTCCCGCACCCTGACCGGACCGGGCGCCTGAGTGGGGTTTATTGAGTTGTTTTGAGACACCATCCAGAAGTATGAGCCTCCTTTGAAAGTACTGTTGAGTCCAGTATGCTCAGAGAATGAGGAGGAGAAGTTAGACCATGCAGCGGTTGCATGGAGGGATCCTTCCCAACCTGCCTCCTCTGAGAAGGTCTCCATGCCTGTAAGAAAAAAAGCATGATTGTCACAAAAAGATGAGAATCAGCATATTAGCATAATTTCTGAAGGACCCTTGAGACAAAAAAATGGCTTTGCCATCACAGGAATAAATTACTTTTTAAAATATATTAAAATAGTAAACAGTTTATTTAAATTGTTATATTTTGCAATATTAAAATTTTTACTATATTTTTGATCAAATAAATGCAACCATTGTGACTTTCAAAAACATTACAAATCGCAATTATAACAACCTTTTGACCTTTAGTGTAACATGGCCATCGCACATTGCATTGAAACTCTCATCATTAATCTTGTTTTATGATTTGAACTTTTGCCACTCAGTTTAGCAATTTCACAGACACACAAAAAGCAAGCAAACAAATCTGCTTCCTCTTCCACTCTTTAATTCCCCATGGCTGCAGTTTTTTTCCCCCAAAATGCATCTGTCAAGTCCTCTCTTTTTGTTTTCTTTTCTACATTTTCCCTGACTTGATATGACTCCTACTATCCTACCCAGCTTAGTCCATCACATTTGCTTCCCTTTATCTCTCTCATCCACAATTGACTCAGTCCTCCTCCTTCATCCTCCCTCTGTTTTTCCGTTGCCCATTCCTTTACCCCATTCTCTACCGCTTCCTCTCTCTGTCTGTTATCAACTGCTCCTTGATCCCAGTAAAATGTGGCTTATTTTCTTAACTATGCAAATAAATAGTACAAATAAAAATATAAGTTGCAAAAATGAGACTGACAGTTTGAGAAAGAATGGTAGCATGGGATGTTGGGTTAAATAAAAATAACGTTGAGTTAAATAAAGAGAGGAGGTGGGGTACAGGGCATGGGACGAGAACACACAAAAGAGAAATAACTAGAAAAGGTCTTACATACCAATGCAAAGACTGTCCATATATGAAAGAAATGCTGTGTTAAATTGAAATTGACTTATTACAGGCATTATGCTGTTTTGTGAAACTGATGTCATCTTCCTTATCCAATCATACTTGACCCAACATATTAAAAATGGTAACTAATTATAAATTTTTCGGACAAATTTATCCAAAGGGATTTATCCAGTGCTTCTTTTACAGCAGCAGCTCCCCGTTCTAAAAATGCTTGTAATTGTAATGAGAAAATAATGTAAAATATTACAGTGAAACCTGTATCTTGTAAGTTATCTGACCAAATATGAACAAAAAATTTTAATTTATTTATTAAATTAGATTAGATTAAACAGGTTTTTATTAGATTATACAATTAATTAGATTTTAATATGAAATTGTATATGAATATTAAATTTTTTGTAAGTGAAAGAGCCCCCTGTTCACGTACAAACTTAGTAGTAGACACACTCACACACATATATACACACACATGCACATATACACATTTCTGGCAGGTTTTTATAGTGTGGAACAAAGACACAATGGTGATTCATTTCATTATGGACTGGCTAAACCTTGATACTTGCTATCTAATTCTTGTTCATTCATTTCATTATACTGGTGAAATGAATCATATATCATAGTCCTATCTCAAAACAGAGCCTATTATATTATGCAGTTTCTGTACAGTATTATACACTTTCTGCCTGTCCATCTCTTTTTCATGTCTTTGACATTTCCATTTGTTTCCCTTCCTTTATGTTTCTAATTCAATCTCTCACTTTCTGAAAGACCATTGTTTCCCGCAATCACCTCATCTTAAATCAATGAGGTTTCTTTACACTGAGTGTGAGCAGTATGTCTCTCTGTGTAATTATCTGGGCTTTTAACCAATGATTCCTAATTGCATCTACTTCCGGAAGGCCAAATAAAGTGCTTTTGTTTTGGCACTGAAACATACACCGTCTCCCTGACATGGCTGCATCAACACTACTGCTGTTCCTGAAACTACGCCTTCTTTCTTTGCGTGCACATTTGGGCGACATTATGCTAATATTTCCACATAGTGACGCAGATATGTGGGGGCGTGTTAGAAAGAGGCGTATTAGGTAGGCGTGGCTGACTCTTAACTTTTATAAAGAATATCTCTTTGGATTTGAGACTTTAGTCTTTGCAACTTTACAGATCTTCTTTATGCACCAAGAGCTTGTAATACTCCAAAGAGAAAGGAAAACTTGAAATCGCATCATATGACCCCTTTAATATATACAATACTTCTTAACCTGTCTTCCACCTTCCCACACACAGGTTTAAAACTTTCTGACAGAAAATCAATTACAGAATAGATAGATAGATAGATAGATAGATAGATAGATTCAGATATGATCAGTGAACTGAAATGAATTTTTATATTTAACTTATTATCTCTTAATTAATACCCAAGATCTCTATATTTCATTCTTTTTCAGCAAATATAAATAGTACAATTGTGAAACTCTTGCTTTTTACAGAATTCGTTTTTAAATGCCTTTCGCTGTGGCTTTCCAGGTCCAGTCATAAATAAAAGCGAGTGTCCCTGTCACAGCAGTGTTTGAGGTCATTTTCTGAAGCAGCTGATGCATGAGCTGTTCAGTTTACCCTTGCTTTGTCATTTTCTACCTTTCCCTGAATCCCTTTCCCTTTGAGGAATCCACTAATATGGTGCAGCAGAAATGTTGGCCTAGACTAAATATAGCTGATGATACAGAAAAAGCACTTCGCTTTTGCAAGCTGCGTTTTATGCATAATATTTGAAAGTGTTTTAAACATGGATAGACAACAAAGGACAAATCACCTCAGGTTGCTTCAGTATGATTGGCCATGAAATATTTGTGCAGCAAGTTGTGTTTTATTAAATGTATTAAAGTCTGGTTTATGCTATATATATATATATATAATTTTGTACTTTGATCAGTGTTAGGATCATTGTAATAGTAGACAATAATTTATAACAATGGGATTTGCATCCTTTAAATGGGACATAAAAGTTTACCATATTTATTTCAAAAATGAGGAAAATAAAAACAATTTGGGAGGGAATCAGTATACTTTTGCACTTCAAAGAGTCTGGAATTAAAATATTTCCCATTATATATTAATGTATTTTAAGACGCTTCTTTTTTTTTTTCATTTACACACATGTAAGTGTGTCTAAGCTTCACATGATTAATGAAATCAGCTAACCTTTTGTTTCCCTCTTGGTTGTAGCTATTGTTTTTCCCTTCTATACTAACAAAGATAATAAAGACATTTGACAATAAACATATTTAAATGAAAAGTAATTGAAAGAGTAATTGAATTGGACTTCCGGTTGAATGCCCAGAATGTAGATCGTAATAATTGCTTGAGATGGTGAGCGTCTAGAAAACTGGTCAGGTTGCATAATAGTTGAGTGCGTCATTAAAAATTACATTTCTTTCCAAGATTTTTTTCATTAGTTTTGTCCTCCAATGGCTTATGCAATTACAAATTAATTTTCCAGGTCATGGATGCCTGCCCTGTTTCATAGTATAACAGTATTCAGCACCTTATTCATTTAATCAATTGCACACTAAAATATTGCGTCAGCATGTGTCCAAAACCTCCCTTTTGGATTTCAACAGCTTCTCACTCCTGATAAGAATATTAACTTCCAAATTCAAAGACCTGAAACCATCTTAAAAACCTCCTGCAGGGTGAAAGTTTTCAGAAAGTTGACAGAAACCATAAGAACTAGATTAATATGCCATGATAAAATAAAAATAGTACATGACCTTTGACTTCTTTATTGCACTGCTTCATCTTCTTTCATTCTTTAATACTAAATCTCACCTTCACTGACACAAAAGCTACATGAACCAAAAAGGTGATCCTCATGGCCTCTTACAGTAAAAAAAAGTAAGAGACTCTTACTTTTTGCAGAAGTCAAAACTAGAAATAGCCATGCAGTTTATTAAATTTAACATTCTCCATATTCTGAGAAATTAAACAGTTAAGAGGCATTATTCTCATACAGTGACTACATAACAAGCCTGCATGAGCAAAATTCATCAGTCTTGCACGAAATGTAAATAAAGTATTTGCTTTGTTTCCACATCTTAGGTTTATTTGGTTGTGTAAGGGAAAGTCTTTTCACCACTTTTAAAAACCGTTTTGAATTACTTAAACATGTTGTGTTTTATGAGGACTCTCTATATTCATTTGACTTTTATACTGTACAAAATTTTGATTCTATACCCTATTCCTAACTACATTAAAAAAAAAAACATTTAGTATGATTTATAAATGGTCTTTTCAGGTTTTAATACATTTCAGGTTTTACTATCATTGTGGGCACAAGGTATAAACAAACATACATTTCATGTAGCATCTCAAATAATACGAGTTAAAGGGGTCATATGATGCGATTTAAATTTTTCCTTTCTCTTTGGAGTGTTACAAGCTCTTGGTGCATAAAGAAGATCTGTAAAGTTGCAAAGACTAAAGTCTCAAATCCAAAGAGATATTCTTTATAAAAGTTAAGAGTTAACCACGCCTACCTAAAACGGCTCGTTCTAACACGCCCCCACATGTCTACGTCACGATGTGGGAAGATTTGGGAAGACGCCGCCCAAATGTTCACGCAAAGAAAGAAGGCGTAACAGGCGTAACAATACATCAAATTCCCACAGGTATTTCATGGCAACAACCCGTATTTTCGACAAAACGGATGACAATTATTCAGTTCAGCTTTCATGCTCAACTCAGCTCCGTCAGTACATGCTTATCACTATAATAGTAGCTTGTCTTTTATTCTATTACACTAAAACTTATGAATCAAATAGAATTTTTTTATTTATTTATTATAACACAAGTTATTAACAATTCAATAGAGTTCAATGTGACTTTTCTTGTTCCCTTTGAGTTCTGGAGAGAAAAAAAAATCAAATAACAGCCCAGCACAGGAAAACTACAGACCTGTCAGTGTGGCATGTATCCCATTCTAATGGATTTGAATTACTAATGCTGTATTTCTTTCTTATTCTAACATTAAATAACTTTGAAAATGGTCTCTTGGCACTTTTAAAATTGCACTTTAATATTAGATACATTTTTCATATCTCAAACATACACCCTTACAACAAGATTTCTTTTAAAGTTTTTATTAATTATTCATTTATTGAACAAATGTAAACCTTGATTTTGTTATATGTATGCTTAATTGGGGGGAAAAAATGCCAGCGGGGTAAAGGTTTTCAATATAAATTACAGATATATGATCTGAAAACAAGTCAAAATTTTGCTTGTCAAGTTTGCATAAATGTTTATTTTAATTTGCAAAACAAATTTAAAAAGAAAATGAATTTTTGCAGTGAAGATGCATTTTATTTAAAAAAAAAAAAAAAGAAAAACTTACTCTGTTTTCTTGAATCAGCAACGATAATCCATGTGTTTTGTGAGGAGCCGCATTCAGTTCTTCAAAGCTGCAGTTGTGCTCTGTGATGGTTAGTTGACAGAAGAGCTGCTGTGCTGATGAAGAGCGTTGAGGTATTTCACCACCCCATGTGAACTTGTAAAGCTGTACTTTTGAAGCTTTCACCTAAGTTCATGTTCACAGAATTCAGAGCTTCTTTTCTTCACGCATCCACTGGATAGAGGCATGCAATTTATTCCAAGAAATGTCTCGCCGTTCCTGAGACTCTGCGTGTCTGAGCTTTAATTTCCCACATTATGTGAGCACCGCTGCACTGATGGCGTTGAATTTGAGCCGGGCTCAGTATAAAAAGCATATCTCTTACATTCACTCACCCTCTCTCTTCCCTCGCTCCCTCCCTTCTCTCCTTTTCTCAGGTCTCATGTGTTGTTAGATGAGGGGAGGAGCCAGTAAAGCGAGGTGTTCTTATACATTCATCTCCACTGTGACACAGAGAACAGATATAGAAGAAGCTCTTTGTCACAGTTTGTGCTATAGTGACACTGTTCGGACCGGGTGATCTGTGTCAATATTTGCTTCCATATTTACATTAACCTGCCCTGGGTGTGACTGCACTTCTTGCCAGTTGTTTTAGTTTGTTGGACTAATAAGATGCCTGCTTGACATTCACACAAATGCACATTGTGTTTCCTTGTGTGTAAATTGTGAAATGCCTTTGCCTTCAGCTATTTGCAAATGATTTTCTGATTTGTATTCCACTGATTCCTGAGTTGGACAAAACAAGTCACAGCAAATACATTTCCATGTTGGTCGAAACAAGAGATAGTCACTAAAAAGTTCTTTGATTTTATCAAATTATAAAATAACATTAAAGGGATAGTTCAGATATTTTTGATGAAATCCAACCGTTTTCTGACCCTGCTTAGACAGCAGACATGTTCATAAGTCTCTGAGGTCCAAGTCCAAGTCAAGCCTCAAGTCTTTAAGGTCGAGTCTAAGTCAAGTCTCAAGTCTTTAAAGTGGAGTCCAAGTCAAATCTTAAGTCTTTGAGGTGGAGTCCAAGTCACATCTCAAGTCTTTGTTCTATTTATTAGTAACAGTTCTTTCAGCTAGTTATTGAGGCTAAATTGGTTTTGAAATACTGATTTCACGATATGATTTTCTCAAAAAATACTTTTTTACTTCAAATTTAAGACAAATTAGAAATGAAAAGGTGTCCATTTATTAATATTCAGACAAAATGCTGCACATTTCTTTGTAAAATTGAAATATGTCAAACAACAAAACTAAATTGAAATTTTAAAACAAACCCCAATCAATCAAATGAATAACACAAATGAAATTCATCTCATATAAACAAACTAAGGCTTTGTTTGTGCTCTTTTTATGAGCAACCACAGTATTTTAAACACAACACAATCCTAACAAAGAGGCTGCTTTCAATTTAAAATTAGAGGCAACCACAGTATTTTACACACAACACAATCCTAACAAAGAGCATGAGCAGTTTTTAATCTACATTGGATTGTATAATTTCGAAATTTAAAGCAAAAACAAAATGTTCTGACTTTAGTTTTGTGAAAATATTCTACATAAACAACTGCACGAAACAAAACATCAGACAGGCTGAATTAGAATGCAGATTCACTCTCCGCCAGCAGGTGGCGCTTGAACAGCAATTAAACATCATTTCCTTGGTTGCCGCTGTAAACAAAGCAGCGCTGCGGTTATGAACACTACTTTAATATGCATTAGACAGTGGCAAGATAAAAAGAAAATACCATCTAAACTTTTCTAAAGACAGCCAGTTCCCCTCAGAAATACATTCATATAAACTCCCATACCAAATGACTTGCGTTTTTTACGAGTCTCATGAGTCACGAGTCCAAGTCAAGTCTCGAGTCAGCTGTTCACGAGTCTAAGTCAAGTCCCAAGTCTTTATTTATGCAACTTAAGTACAACTCGAGTCCAAGTCGCAGACTCGAGTTTCCATCTCTGATAGACAGCAACACAACTGAAATGTTCAAAGCCCAGAAAGGTAGTAAGGACACCGTTAAAATAGTCCTTGAGACATCAGTGGTTCAACCGAAGTTTTATGAAGCTATGAGAATATGTTTTGTGCACAAAGAAAACAAAAATAACGACTTTAATCAACAATTTCTTCTCTTCCGTGTTGTTGTTTTACATAAAATATAGATTCTTTATTTATATAATTTAATTTGACAATATCAGCCTCCATGCTAAAGATCCTCTTTCATATGGGCACTGGCAAGTCTTATGATTTTTATAAGTTATTTTGTTCATATTTTTTGACTCAAAAATTGTTTGTGATTTTTAGATAATTTCCCTCATTTTCTAGTAGGTCCACTTACTAGGAAAACAAACGGCTCTTGGAAAATGAAAGTAGTACAAAGTGGTAAATGTAATTTATTACCCCAATAAATTCAGGCACGACATTTACAATATTAAAATGGTTTTTCACTGGTGTAATAGGGTATTAAAAACAGCACTCTTTGTGCTTGACACTATAATTTACAAATAGCATGTTTTAGTGCAAAATGTATATTTTTAAACTGCTTTAATTTGTAACAGACAAATATGGGAATATTATAATATGACATGTCATATTATAAGGAAAATAAACCCTGATGAGCAGACATTGAAACAATAAGTGCTACACTGTAAAAAATAAGTGTAATTTTAACTGTAAAATTTTGTAAAAACGCTACGGAAAAAAACTGTTAATAGTTTAACAGTAAGTTCCCGTACTATATACAGGGAAAAACTGTAAAATATCTAACCAGACATTTCATGTAATTTTACAGTAAAATGCTGTTAATTTTACAGTTTTTAGAAGTAAAAATAACAAATCAATGTATAATTTACAGTCAAAAGCTGTAAACTGATATTCCCAGAATTCCCTGCATGACCCTCCACATTTTAAAGTATTTTGTTTAAATCATGTTTTTTTAATAGTTTTTGTTATTAGTTATGTATATTTGGGCTTTATGTTACATCTTCTGTTGTTTAATGGAAGTTTAATGCATTATTTAAGTATCATGTGTGTTACCATGATGGTGTTTTGTGTTTGCATGAATGACTCTGTGCACCTTCTATATATTAGTATATACTTCTGCTTGTGGCGAAGCTACTTGTGATGAGCTTTGATTCTTCATGTGGCTTTCTCTTTTACCACCTGCATTATTATGGTGGTTGTCAGTTTATGTTAAAGGTACAAAACAGATTTTAATAGCAGTGTGCATTGTTGAATTTACTGGTTTACATTCAAATGTTCTTGTTTGTAAATTACAGTTTTATACTGTAAAATTTACAGTTTTTGGCCGTAAATGTGTTTACCGTTTTTCTGTATTTTTTACAAAATTATTCTGGCAACCACAGCTGCCAAAATTATTTTGTAAAAACTACAGAATTTTTTTTACAGTGTAGAACTCTCCCTGGTCTCTCCGGTTCCATAAAAAATATTTGCAATCTAAATAGGCTTCCATTTTGAATGACTTGATAAAATGTCTTGTTATATTCTCAAAAGAGGAAGAAACAGAACGGATAGGACATATTAAGTATTGCATAGCAGTAGTATTTTTTATTTAAACGGGTATGTGCATGATGGCTTAGAAATATTCCCAAAGCGGTCAGTAACTCAAACTATTGCACAGTACTTCTTCTGAACACACCGCACTCAAATACATTCTGTCTCTTGAGCCTCTCCTATTGTTGTGGATTTGGACAAATATCTCAGAGGCAGAATGCATTTGCAGCACAAATCAACCAGACACGGAGCAGGCTGCAGTCATTTCCCATCATCAGCGGATTTATTGAAGGGAACATTTCCAGGGCCCCGTTGGACAGGAATGAGGGCCAGATCAGAGCAGTTCCACATCTCAATGACCTCATATGACTTTCTATAGATTCAGACCTTCTTCTGTGGCCAGCAATTAAAAAGACAGCTGTTTTTCCTCTAACAGAGCATTTGTTTGGCAATGAACGCATATGTGTATCATCGGCAGGCTTCTTCATAATAAAAGTGCTGAAAGACCCAAAACTTAACAAACAGTCCCTAACAAGATCAGGTGTGTGGTTTTTTTAACATGTTTCTGCCAGAAAGAACAGATTCCCCAGCTTTCAAAAATACCAGATAACATTCTCATGAAGTTATGAAAACGTTATTTATAAATGGTCTCTGAACGTTCAAAACGTCCAGTTTGTTTTAAATATAAAAAACAACTTTGTTATGCGAATGTAAGAGAACACAACATTAATGGAACGTTACTTTTGAATGTTCTCTGAAACCAGTAAATAGTAACATTAAAAAAAGTTAGATGAACATCTAACTAAAATGCTTCAGAGAAACATTCTGTGAAAGATGTATAAATAATGTTTCTGTGCTACTGTTTTGAGATTTTTATTACAGACTTGATAACTCTGAACAAACATTCTATTAACGTACTGTAACTAGAAGCTATGTTTGTTTATAACTTTAAGAGAACCTTTCCAGAATGCTAGCCGAAGTTCTGAGAATGTTCCCATAGTTTCTTAATAATTAATGCATTTAATTTATACCTTCATGATATCTGGGTTGACAACAGATGTGCATGATCTTTGTGGTTATTTGCGCGTGACTGTGTGACCTGGTCTCAGATCTCTTTGGAAGCTCCTGCTCCATAATCCAATGATTTTCAGACCTCTCTCAAAGAAGCGGGAGAGGTAAAGTTATGTGAGGCTTTTGTGTGGAGGCTTTACAAGGGGAATGCAAGGAGACAATGCTGAACTGACAAGCAGTTAAATCAATGTGAGGTCTCATGTGAAAAGACATGAAATACTAGTTCATTTAAGTCATTTCTCCTGGGCTTTCTGGTGAGATGAAAGCGGCACTGAATCAACAAGTTGAAATACTTCAATTTAACCTTAGAAATGGTGCATATTGCAAGTTGCATCATAAATAGGTTAAATAAACTGTAGTTCTCACAAATATTTGTTTTGGATTAATTTCTTTATAGATCTTTTGTTACCAAAGGTACCCTCAGCCTCACCTGTTTCACACCAGTTTGTTTGTTTATTTGTTTTTTCACAAAAGCTCTGTTGTCTTTATAAAGAAAAACGTAATAGTTTCATTTTTCTTTTTTGTCCAGTATACATAAACACTAAAAATAAAAAATAAACATTAAGATTTCAGAAATCTGTCTTGTGAATGGTAAAGTTAAACAGATGGAAAAAAAACCAGAGCAAGTAATGCAGTCCAAGGTTAATTAGGAAAGTCAAACTCAGAAAGTCAAAAAGTTCAATTTGTTAACATTCTATAACATTTAGAA